TAACTATTATAACTCCTACAACTAAATATATTAACAAATAATATAACTACTATAACTGGTATGGTTATTATATAAATTATATAATTCATGTATAATATGCAACCAATGTAACTGAAAGACTAGTAATTCATATTTTTCATATGAAATAAATAAACAAATAATTGCTTATTAGTCATAAAAAAATTTATATTATTTGAGGCTTTTCAACATTTAAATTATTACATTAGTTTTATATCACATACCATATATTTAAAGGTTTGTTGACTAGATTAGTCATATTATTATGAAAAGAAAATATTCAACATAATTTTATAAGTTACAATGTGAAAATATTTATACAACTCCTTAAGATATATAAACAATTGTTACAACTGTTCAACTCTATATCAAACCATAAAGGTTATACTTGCATAACTGGTACAACTATGTTTTATTCACTAAACAAGTGATCCTCGTATAACTAGTACAAATATTCAGTTTCTAAAATTTAAATATTCCATTGAATATTGCATATGAAAACAAAATATCAGCTGACCATAATGGTAAATGTTTAGATGGGTTATTGTTATTTGTGATGATTTATTTTTATTTTTTTGGCAATTATAACACAATCACATAAGTTTGCATAATCTACCTTGTACTTTTAAGGTTTGCCAGCTTCTTTGTCCACATAACTTTTGGAAAACATACATGAAATGTATTTTAATAAAACTGATGATTTCATTGTATTAGAGCATAAACATGTATACATAAAGAAGTGGTACAACTGAGGTAAGTTTAAACTTTATGTGGTACAACTAGTTTTTTCGATTTAATGCACTGCCAAAATTTAAGAGTTGGTTACATATTGGGCCATTTTCTGTCTTTTGTTAACATCCAAATCCTTATGACTTGTAGCATACTTTCTCTTCTTCTTGGACATCTGTATTTTCCTTATTGTCCTTTACGAAAGGAAGCTTGGTTTGATGGTGGATGTTACGGTTTAGTTAATTTGCCAAGGGAATTGGTTTAGCTTTTCATTTATTAGGTAGGTATATTGACTGTCGTGACTTTTGCTAGCCACGGGATCAAAAAGGCTAGATGTGATCCGACGGGTGGTGTTCAAAAGAGAAATTATAGTACTTGTAGACAATGACGTGAAATTAATGCTTCACTCGTAGGTTTATCTTACAGTCGAAAACGACGTGACCTACATCTTGGGAGGTATCAGGAAGGTAGTATCTTGTTTTTTCTTGAAGGTTACTAATTTTGAATATCTTGCTTGTTCATTCAAATTTATTTGTGTCGTTAGTGTGTTAATTGTCTTTAAGACGTCGTACGTTCGTTTTGTAGGCATAAGCTATGGAGGAGCTGAGTATGGTAATCGCCGGGAATTGGGTTTGTGGACCCAGGAACAAGTGGGATTTCGTTGTGGACAAGAATCAGATGGCAAGGCTCGTGAAAGTGTACGAGGGGATGTGTTTATCAATCTGGAAGTGAGTGTTTTGAAAGAGTTCAAGGTCGACGGCAACATTTATAATGCAAAATTAAGCTACTGGCCACCTACTAGTATGGAACTTACGACCGGGATAACGACGCCTCCTATTTCAGTGACAAGCGATGCAGCAATAAGTTACTAACTGGAGCATTTGAGGGTGAAAGGAGCAATGAATTTGTTCGTGAGGTTTGAAGAGTTCTGCCCTCAGGAGGAAGATGACCCCAAAGACGACTCTGGAATGGGCTTTGTGACTCCTGGTGCTTTTAAACAGAAGAGCATCTTTAGTGCTCCGCTGCGTTTCAAGCAGAAGACTCCTTACAGTAGAATGTCGGGTTTTAATAAGAACATGTTCTCGTCTGGTGAGCCTAGTATTCCTAAGATGCGATGCGTGACTGAAGATCCAGCAGTGAATCTTGATGATGTAGACTTTGTGCGTGAGGCTGAGAGAGTGGAGGCGGAAATGGACGGAGTTGGCAGAGTCAGCGACGGAGGAGTAGTCAGTGGGGGTAGCGACACTGAAGAAGATGTGCCGAGAGAGGAGATAGATGATAGGGACATACGTCCTAGAGGATACAAAAAAGACTTCTGGAGTCCATTGCTGAGTGGCGACTATGGTGGCTCGAACGCTGTTAATGTCATATACAATGGAGATGAGATTATGGATGGCATTCTTAGGAAGTCTAGTCCACGTTTTTTTTTCCAAGCAGCATACCTGAACACATTCCAACTGCAGCTGTAGCCGGTGGTTCTAGTGGCGGGTTCCCTGACACAAAGGAAGATACTGAGGGACATCAGGGATTTGCTGGTGTGGATGGTGAAGCATGTACACGAAAACTAGAAGATGTTGCTGACGATGAGTTTGACATTCCACCGCTTTTTGACGATACGACTTAAGAAGCATCTGAGATACCAGACATGGATGGCACATAAGATGATGGACAGATCTATGTAGGAAAGGTGTTTGTGAACAAAGAGGAGTGTCAAATCTCACTTGCAATCTATCCAATAAAGAAAAAATTCCGGTTCAAGCAGACGCTACCAAAATCGACTCTTTTGTTCTTACGTGTCCCGACATGCGTTGTGACTGGAGGGTAACAGCGCATAAGATTAGGGGGACTGGATACTATGAAATTAGGAAAGCTCAATTAGATCATAGTTGTCTAATTGACTTCAGAATGGGGTATAAAAGCAGAGCTACTTCTAAGCTGATTGCTGCTGTGTAGAAGGCAAAATTTGGTGCTGCTGGTAAGGGTCCAGTTCCTAGAGAATTACAGCAGCTGTTGCTAGAGGATCTCAAGGTCTCCGCATCGTACATTAAGTGTTACCGCGCGAAGGAGAAAGCTGTTGAGGGCGTATTTGGATCAGAGGAGGATTCATATTTGCAGTTACCCGAGTATCTCCACATGTTGAAGCTAGAAAATCCCGGTACAGTTGCTGATATTGAGACCGAAACTGTTGAAGATGGAGATGAACGGTTTCTGTACTTATTTTTAGCTTTTAGGGCTTCCATAGCTTGTTTCCGGAAGCTGAGGTTGGTGATTGTGATTGATGGGACACATCTCGGGGGGAAGTACAAAGGGGTCTTGTTGACAGCTAGTGGCCAAGATGCAAATTTTCAGATTTTCCCCTTAGCATATGCTGTTGTGGACACCGAAGATGAGGATGCGTGGACGTGGTTTCTTCAAAAGCTTGAGCGAATTTTGGGTGATTCACCTCGGCTTGCTATCATCTGGGACAGGGTAACCTGTATTGCAACTGCTGTAAAGCGTGTGTACCCTCGAGCTCATCATTGTTATTGCATTGTGCATTTAGCTAGGAATGTGAACTCCCGGTACTCAAGCAAAAGATTGGCAAAAACTGTGGTTGCTTGCGCCACAGCCTATAGACCGAGTGTTTACAAGGATCAGTACGCGAAGATAAGAGCTACGAACAGCGACTGTGGTGCATACCTAGGGATGATTGGAGTTTCTCACTTGACAAAGGCCAGTTTTCCAGCAGATAGGTACAATATAATGACCAGCAATATAGCTGAGCAGTTGAACAAAGCTCTCGTGGAAGGTAGGACGCTACCTGTGAAGGAGTTAGTGATCTTCATACAGAGGATGATGACACGGTGGATCAGAGCTAGGAGATCTAAGTCGGAGAAGCATAGAGGACAAGTTAGTGTAGAGGTGGACAATGAGATAACTAAAAACATGGCAGCGGTTGGTGGGAGAAAAAATAATTATGCAACAGATTGGAGATGTGAGATCATAAACAAATTTGGACATTCAGACCGCGTCCTGCTTGATGTTAAGCAGTGCAGCTGCAAGTACTTTGACAAAATAAAGATACCCTGCGGACATGCCATTATGGTAGCTAACCATTTGGGAGTGAGTTATGATACTTTGGTGGGGAATTTTTACAAAACCGCGACATGGAGAGAGGCGTACGCGGGGGTTATAACACCTCTTGGTGATCCATGGGATGTGGAAATTCCAGAAGCAGTCAAGAAGGTGGTGTTGTTGCCTCCAACTACCAAGAGACTTGCTGGGAGGAGACGCAAGAATCGCATCCCTTCTACTAGTGAAATGCCAGTAAGTGGTTGGTTCCAATTGCTTTTGTGGATGACACTTGCTAATCCAGCGAGTACTGAGCAATGTTGTGTTGATGCAGGTTGAAAGGAAGAAGAAGGAAATACCAAACAGATGCACCAGATGCTGGGGTGTGGGACACAACCGCACTAGATGCTGTGCTCCAATCTAAGCAAGAGACAGATGACTTGGAATGTTTGGGTTGCGAGTGTGTTTCTTGTTTGTGGCAGTTGTTTTTTGGTGAATGTAATTCACAAATATTCGGAGAGATTTTAAAATTTCGGAGTAATCATTAGTTTGGTTTTGTAGTTGAAGGGTATTTTGAGACGAAATGTTCTACGAGTTAATTGATTTGCGAATGATTTGGTGGTTAAATCCATGTTTGCTTGGTTGAAAAGATTTGTTTTTCTAATATAAGCATCCGCGTCCAGAACAAAATTTTGTTCTATTGTTTGGTGGTTAGTGAAAACAATAGTAGCATCCACTCTTTTTAGTGGTTAGTGAAAACAATAGTAGCATCAAAAGTGTTTGTAAAAGTGCAGATGAAGATTTAGTTATATTTTTGTGTGATTTGGTTGTGGATTGAATTGATTCTCTTGATTTAGTTTGTGTGTAGGAGTAGGTTGTAGTAGTTTGATGAAGAGACCTCAAACGCATATATATAACAAAAGTATATATAAACTAGAGACCTCAAACGCACAGTACATGATAATACATGTTAAAAGTAAAGATGATGAGGTTAGCAGCTGAACAACTACCCATTACAATCAAGTGAGTTTGTAACAGAACCATATTGTAACTCCCAGGACAGCAAAAGCGACACCAATGTTGACAATGAATCGTGGACAGTGAATGCGGTGTCCTGCAACTCCAGTTTTGTTTGTGTTGTCTGTCTCCTCCAGCTGTGTATCGTTCACCTGGTTAATCTTTAGTAATGTTTGTGCTAACTCCTATTTCAGTTTCCCGATACTAGCTTCTTGTCGAGCTAGCTCTTCCAGAACAGTGTTGGAAAGGGATTGCAAATCGTGTAACAGATCCTGGTGCTTAGCGTCAACAATCCTAACCTCGTCAAGGATTGCCTCGTCTTCCCATTTAAACAAATGGTCTTCTGGTTCCCTCTCTTAACATACACAAGTAGTAGTTTTCATAATGTAGAAGAAAGGGTCTCATGAAGGCATAAATATCAAAAGGGTTTCGATGGACTAACCTCCAAATAAATGACGCATCTATGGAATCTCCGAAATGAGTTCTCTTTGGTTTGAGAGGCAAAAAATTTTAGGTTGTTCCCACACCAGCATCGTGTGGGGACACCGTACCTAGAACACCGGTGTCCGGTTATCAAGGAGGAGAAGGAGGATGAAGTCAAGAGAGTGGGAGTAGGAGGAGGAGTCTCTGTTGTGCTGGAGCGCAAACACTAATCTGAGATCCATTTGGGAATTTTTGATCTTTATACCGTCCAGTTCTCTTTAATTCCAATTGTACCGGGTCCGGTTTGTTTTTTAGACAGTGAATATTGTTTGTTGTGTTCCTATTTTGGGCCGGACAACACCCAAATGGCTTTGGTATTGTTTTTTTATTTGGTGGACGTGGATGGTGGTTATGGATGGTGTACCTTACATTTTTCGAGAATGGGGAGGTGAGAATAGTTTAAAATCCTAACGTTAACTTATATTACAAGCCACAAATATTCGGTGGAGATCAAAGCAAAAGGACGCACAGATGTGTTAGTACAAAAGATGATAGTTGTTAACATGACAAAAGCATAACCATTATCGATGTTTGAGAGTAAAATTGGTTTTGCTTGTGAGAGCTGCCAAACAAGCGCCGAGTTGACAACATAGTTGTTCCTTAAAAAAACATCATTTTACTGGTGTTATCGATTGTAGGTACCCTATAGTATGCAGGTAGCACAACGGTCTTGTAAAGGTCTAGAACGTATTGTTAACGTAACGCATCAACCAACCTGTCTGTGATGCCATACATGGTTGGTTCTGGATCACCATGCGCATACATTTCCATGAACTTGACACTTACCGGTTCACAATCACTTGATCTTTCATTTTTATAGATGTCTTTGGTGCTGATCCATGTAAATGGCTCTAGTTTGCAAAATTTAGTGAGCTCGTACTTAGCAACCTTCTTGACAAGGTAAGGAAGGGACTTCAAGACCGGATTCATGAAACACTCCACCTTCTTATCACTGTAGAGGTCAGTCACTGGGTCAAGTATTTCAACCAGACCCAAGTCTAGGTTGATTGCAAGACCAGCCCAATGTCTGTCATCCCATATCATGGGTTTGTAAACCGTAGTAACATCATCCATCCATTTTCTGCCAGGCATGAGAACGATATCTGAAAGCTGTTTGTCCCAGTTGAATGATTCTTTCTTGCGTGACCTACTGAAACTTGGATAAATTTCCTAAATAACAGAAGTTAGATATGGTGTTGTGAAGCACAACCTCTGGCTTTGGAGAAGTTCAGCGTGCTTTTCAGATAACATGTTCATGAGTATAACCATGTGCTGCAGAGAAGAAGAAGATGTGCGAGGTTAGTAAAAATGATTGTTAGTAAGAAGATCATCACAATGTTTTGAAGATAATAGGTGATGATATAAAGTTTCAGACAGTGGTCCCCAACTTACATATGTTTTAGTCCATTGCATTGGTACAGCTAGTTGTAGGAGGAAACTGTTGGAGAAGCTCAACTTCGAAGGTGTGATGTGAAACCTGAATCATTAAAATTGTTCACTACGTTAAGTAGTAGTATGTAAAAATCTTGTGTGCGATAACAATATAGGGAAGCTTACGCCTCTCCGAACTTTGAAATAGATTTATAGAAGAGATCCCATTGTATCTGGGAAAGTTGACAGATAAGAGTAGGCGCTGGGATTTCTTTGCATTTGTATAGCTCTTTAGAAACGTTGTTTTCCTCCATGCAGGGGATATAAGTGGGTCTTCGCCTTGGTGGAGTGCCTTCACAGTCGCTTAGCTCAACAATGTCAAGGATATCAGATGGTTGTGCTTAGTTCAACCAGTTTGTGCAAAAGACAGTAATCAAAGTTATGAATGCGGCAGTAGAAACATCAAACAAGGTACTGGAGTATTAAAGAAGCATACGAACCTCGTCTACATGGACGGTTGGTTTTGATACTTGAGAATGAGATGTAGAGGTTGATGAAAAAGCGTTAACTCCTGCTGCATGTGGAGCAAAACCCGAAATACTGGCTGGACTCTTAGTAGGAGAACTCTTTAGTGAGCAAGGTTGGGGTGGCAAAGGGAACAGGCAAGTCCTACGGGAAGTTGGGCCTACTGAAGAGTCATATTTCGGTTTGGTGGGTGTGATAGGGTCAGGAGAAATAGGTGAGTGGATCTCAACACCACTAAAGAGAAGGTCTTGGAAAGGAGGGCCTTTGGGTGTGTCTGCTGAAGAGAGGAGCAGATCCGGTGGAGGTGCGCTTGTATCATACAAGGGAGACGGCTCCAGAGACGGTGATTTTTGGATCTCTCCATTGGAGTCATGGACTTGGGAATCCTGTACGGCGACTTGGGAGCGTATCGGTGAGTTGTGGACAGGTGAATTGTGGACGGGTGAGTTATGGACGGGTGATTTGTGGCCCAATAAGGTGTGGATGGGTGAATTGTGTACGGGTGTGGTGTTTTGGGATTGTTTGTGTACAGTGATGTCCTATAGAGAAGCCAGGGTTGTAGACTCTTTCTGAAGATAGTGTTGCACAACATATTGGCTGATAAGGGGGGGGGGATAGTAAGGAAGTACCATCTACATCCATGTTGGTCTCATTCTGCAAAAGTATAAATGGGCTTTTAAATATAAACATTATGAAAAGAGAACTTAATATGGAGGTCAGGTCTGATACTAAATTTCAAAAAACATTTAACGAACAATGAAACTTCATCTATACAAAGGACATTGTAGTCTTTTTGAGTAAGCAGAAGTATGTAACAAGTGGTAAGTGGCCTTCTGTGAAATTAGAAAGAGGGAAAGTTGCCCAGAGAGTAAAAAACTTAAAATTTAATGTGTCATGGACCAAGTTAATATACCTAGACTAAATAAAAGGAAAAGACAATACAACCCTTAATGAAAATGTACTCTCAACCATTAGATTATCATTTTTTTTTAAATCTAAACCATACATTTTTTTTTTCTTTTCATCTATTTTTTTGCTGGGATCCACTTCTTTTTTTTCTCAACCGTAAGATTATTTTTCTTTTCTCAAGTCACAACCACAATATTCCTATTCTCTCATTTGTATGTGTATAACTAGTTTAACTTGTACAACTAAATATATGAAATAAATAAACAAATAATTGGTTATTAGTGATAAAAAATTTCTATATTATTTGAGGGTTTTCAACATTTAAATTATTACATTAGTTTTAGATTAAATACCATATATTTTAAGGTTTGTTAACTAGATTAGTCATATTATTAGAAAAATAAAATATTGAACATAATTTTATAAGTTACGATGTAAAAATATTTATAGAACTCCTTAAGCTATATAATCAATTGGTACAACTGTTCAACTCTATATCAAACCATACAGGTTATATTGGCATAACTAGTACACATATGTTTTATTTACCAAACAAGTGATCCTCTTATAACTAGTACAACCATTTAGTTTCTGAAATTTAAATATTCCATTGAATATTGCATATGAAAAAAAAATTGCTGACCATAATAGTAAGTGTTTAGATGGGTTATTTTAATTTGTGATGATTTTTGTTTTTGTTTTTTTTGGCAATTATAACACAATCACATAAGTTTACATAATCTACCTTGTAATTTTAAGATTTGTCAACTTCTTTGTCCACGTAACTTTTGGAAAAAATACATGAAATTTATTTTAATAAAACTGATTATTTCATTGTATTAGAGCATATGTATGTATACATAAAGAAGTGGTACAACTAAGGTAAGTTTAAATTTTATGTGGTACAACTAGTTTTTTCGATTTCACTGCCAAAATACAACTATGTACGAATCAGTACAACTCAAAAACTAGTACAACTAATGTACAAACCAGTACAACTCTAATAATAGTACATCTATGTTATTTCATTTTGTATTATGCATCATTTTTAACGTGTATCATGTTTTAGACATTATAGGTTAATATTAAAATGAGTAGTTGTACTAGTTGTCTCCTCCTCATCTCCAGTTGCCTCTTCATTTTCAACCGCTTCCTTCTCAATCTTTTTTCTCGCACTCACCATCCTCCTTATTTGATTCCTCAACCGATATGACAGCCCCATTTCCTATATCATCTATAGTAAAATATAGTAACTGGGCAAAATCATGTAAATATAAATAAATGGTACCAGTGCGGTAAGTGTATTATTATGTGATACAACTAATACTTTTTTTATTTAATTGCCAAATTACAACTATAAACATTGTGGTTGAACAATAATGTCCAGTAGTTGTACTAGATGTACAATTTTTACATTTATTATGTTATACCGAAATGCATTTACATTTAAAGTAAACATATTTTTTTAAATAAGAGACATAAGTTTTAATAGTTCTAAAAGCTATGCCAAAAAATAAGTTTAACAATAAAAGGAACATAAGTTTTATCACCAAAAGCAACATATAAATATTAATACCAAAAAGAACCTTATACATGTAAGGATCGTTTACTTGCTTAACCACAATGTTTTTCTCAACCTCTTATCTTATTTTCATGTTCCCATCAAGAAAATAGATCTTGGGAAGATAAGTTTATCATCCAATGTTAAGAACACAACTCAAATAATACCACAATTAAATTAGTAAAACTACTATCGTAGTTAAACCAGTTGGACTATAATTATCGTAGTCCAAACACCAAACAAAATGATTATGTATTTTTTTTTGAACATGAATGATTATGAATTCTAAGTTAAATTTTTTAGTGTACTCTTCTAAATCCTCTTCTACTGCAACATCTTTTTGCTTTACTACTGTCTTCTTCGACTTCAGGATTAAACATGATTTAAAAAAAATTGTACAATTAGTACTAGTAGTACAACTAGTAAAACAAATAAATATTTAGATCAAATAATATAGAAAAGTTCCTATAATTCTGAAAACTCCAACAAGTCTCAAATATTAAGTATAATATTATGAGTTGGTTGAAAAAGATTACATTCAAAGATAACAAGAAAACTGATCACATTACATAATCTTAAATGATCATTAATCAAACATAGATTTATCAGAAAATGGATATCCCTATAGGTTGTATGAATAAAGTTGCAAGATTGTATTGATTATACACGTTCTAATTATATCGGTTATATTAATTATATGTGTTATACTTGTATCGGTCGTACTAATTATAAGCATTATAGTGGTACCAGTTATGCTAGTTATATGCATTATAGTTGTACCAGTTATACTCGTTTGAGTTATACTAGTTGTACCAGTAATACTCTATGTTCTTCGTTATCGTGAATATCATACAATGTGAGCAGATTCATGTTAGAATGGTAAAAATTGATTGAAGAAGGTAATGGGTTGATCGATTTGACCAAAGATGATTATGCTTATAGATATAAAACAAGAATCATAGAGCATATCTGATTTTTTTTTTCAATTTCAATTTAAGATAAGAAAAACCTTGATGGAAAAGAAAAGAGAAAAAAAATGTATATGTGATTAAGGAGATGGTGATTGTTGATGAAGAAGATGCATATCGAAAAAGAGAATCGAGATAAAAAAAATTGAATCATCAGTGATTTTGAAAAGGGGAAGAACAAAAAATTAGGGATTTGAAAAAAGATCCGACCTAGATCATATGTTGTTATTTGGGTCGAATTCTGAATGGATGGGTTGGTAATTTTAGAAAATTTTCGTAGGATAATTGACATTTGTCTACTTTTTCTATTTTTATAAAATGCAAATTAATTAGAAAAAGAGGTCTATGTTAGATTTTTTTGACCCAATGTGGTCCATTCCAGCATTTGATTGCGGGGTTCCTAACTAAACTCGCCAAACAAACCAAATAAAAAAAAATAAAGAAACTACATATTTACTGCGTTGACTTAAAATATAATTTTTTCAACACTATTCAAATCATCAATTACATAATAATATTATTCAAATTTTTTGTTTTAATAAGAAATAAACAAATCAATCACATTATAGTTAGTATATCTTTAAAACTTCATCGATCCTTTTACATAGATTCTCTTAAACATGGTTCAGACTTCATAACTTTTTATCATAACCTCTATTTTAGACTAGAGATTATAATTTAGTAATTTGTCATATTGTTTAGATACATATTAATTAAACTCGATTATATATTACATATTTTTTTTAGTGGTGCAACATGGATCAGCTTAAACTCAAGTTTTTGAATACAATACATGTATCAACAAGTAAATGAGCCATAGTAGATATCTAATAGGTTTATTGTAGAGCTCATTAGCCTGATTCATGAAGTAGTAGACGAGGAAAAATATGAGTCTTGATACGGTCTTTATCAAGCATGGATTGACTATGAACCATCATGGACAACTAGTGTTCAACTTGTATGATCAGGAAATGGTTTAGACGAATTTTGTTGGACAGAAAATGGATTAGACTATTCAGTATGATCAAGAAATTGACTGGTTAAACCGACATGGACAAAAAATGATTTGGAAATGGAAGATTAATAGCCCATTCTGGAAATAAAGCATAAAGATCATTATCAACAACATGAAATTAAGGAGAAAATTGGTCGGATCATAAACAAAATGAATTGGTCCCAAGAAGGATCTGGTTGAAAAATGGCCTTATCATTCCTTATAGATAAACGATCAGCCACATTGGTACTTACATGTTATTTTAAATAATCTTACATGTATTTAGGCTTATATTAATGTGATAGTTTAGGTTTGGTGTTAATAAACCAATTAAGATTAAGAATAATGTTTTCAAAACCGAGCAAAATTAGGATATTATTTTCACAAACCAATATGGTCTAGGATTAAGATTTTATAGCTTAGGATTTCATTTTGGCTTTCTTATTTATGTTACGCACGAGACTTCATGTAACCGTAACCAATATTTAGTAAAAACAAAGTTTTAGGCTTCAAAACCTTGTCATATCCTTGTTCTTCTTTGACAATCTTCATACTAAGGAGAGTGATCTCCTTTGGTTCATCCTAGACATCAAGAAGGGTTATCCTGTGTCTTAAGAGTCGTAACACTACCTAAAAGAATTCCATTGCTTGAAGATGAAGATCATCCACTGTCCTAGAACCCTGAGCTGAAGCATATGTCGTCCATACCTTCAAATGTGATTGCGATTAGATCTTCATATCCAAGGTCATACTAAGTGGTATCAGAGTCGTTTGAAGGTTTAGGGATAAAATTTTATAGCCTAGACACAGAAAATCAATCTATTATATTTCATGTCTTATTATAGAAAACAAGACAAGAAGGATAAACAACAAGTAACAAGGGAATTGTTGCAAGGAAGGAAAATATTTATCAATATTTCACCCTTTTATGGGGTGATTGATCTTTATACATACCTAAAATGGGAAAAGGAGATGAATTTAGTCTTTGGTTGCTATCACTACACAACGGAGAAGCATGTTTGTCTTTCAATTAATTGATTATGTAGATATGCACTCAACTGACGGTATCAGATTGCTAGCAACATGTTTCTTCTTGGTTTAAGATGA